TATCACTTAATATATTAGAAATAGTAATCCTTTTCTTATTCATATAAATTAAAGTTTCTCATTTTATTCTTCAATATCCCTTACAGATTTTCTGTTTGTTAGCAGTTGCCTGTGCGGATAAATTAGGTTATAATTACCAGCCTGTAGCGCATTCAGAACAAGGTCTCTCGTTCGTTCCAGGTGCCAGTGGACATGAATTACGTGGCGAAGCTCTACTATCACAATCACAAAGTTCATCTTCTCAACATGCATCAGCACAACAATCACTAGTTCAACAAGCTCCCATACAACAGGCGTCCATACAACACGCCGCACCCATACAACAGACATCATCTCAAGTGTCCCAGCCTGCACCATTAATTGAAGAATATGAAAAAGAATTTTATAGTTATTCTGCTCCGGAAGAAGAATTTGATGATGGTGCATCTAATCAAAGAAGTAGTAATTCTTTGAAAAGAAACTTACGTGTTTTATTCATAAGAACACCAGAAAATCAAGGACTTGCAAATGCTGCCCTATCCTTAGCCAGACAAGCTACTGATGAAAGAACTGCAATTTATGTCCTTACAAAACAAGCTGACGTTGGTAATTTAGCTAAACAACTTGAGAATCAAAAGTCACAATCAAGAAGTATACCTGAAGTACACTTCGTTAAATACCGCACACCACAAGATGCCGCTCACGCTCAGCAGGCCATACAGTCGCAGTACAACTCTCTGCCTGGTGCTTCACACAGCGACCAAGGAACCGCTAATGTTTTGAATTTTGCTTCGAAAGCCACTGGCCCAGCTACTAACACTGCCCCAGCTAGTCCTCATGCGCAATATCTACCAGCAAACCCGGTGCCAAGTCAACAGTACTTACCATCTAGTTTGCGAAGATTGCGTTTATAAAACTTTCGAATTATTACCACATTAATTATTAATAATCTTGGTTTAGGTTGTTGTTTGTTGACTAGTTTATATTAAAGCGAAAGCGAAAGCAAAAACAAATTACAAATTCAATTAAAATTGTACTTTCTGGTATTTGTGTGGACAAAAGGATAACAGTTCCAAGCAAATTTACTCGCGTAATTGAACATCCCAACTGTAGTACCGGCCCGAGCGCAATTTGTATCTGTGTATGCGAAGATTGCAGCAAATTAAAAGCTTTTAAATTTTCTTTGAGAAAGTTTTTGCTTGAGTTAGTGCTGCTGGCAAAAGTTTTACTATTACAATGAAGGGTATCCTGCAAGGTTAGCATTAATGCCGGATTATAATATTTAAACTTTTAATAGTGATGATTTGTTCAAACAATGCTCGCCACTTAGTGAAACACTTTTGCATACAAGAACAAAAGGATTCGCTTAGAGAAAGTGTTTAGAGAAATGTTTGCACTGACTTTTCACGATCCTGAATTTATTTTTGACTTTAAACCTTACAGGAATCAAATGTTCATTAAATAAGACTGCAAATTTTATTCAAAAGTCTTACATAAATCATTACTTCCAGGGTCATTATTAAGTCACAACTTCCTCATTTTTGTATAATAATTTTGTTACTTAAATGAAGGCATGAAAATCGTAGGAAAAATAGCCAATAATAATATTAATTTTTTTTAATAGAAAGTTGCTCACTAGAAATCCATTAAACCCGACCTACAAATATTTGTAAATACTCGTAATTATACTTTTGACTATCTATGGTAAACTGAACTATGCTTATGACAGAATAATTTAATTTCCAGTAACCGAAGCTTAAATATTTTAAAATGATATTAAGTAACTTAAATTAGGAAATTAGTGGAATCATATAGAGCACACAGCATAAAGTTGAATATCAACAGCATATTCATAGAGCCCTAGATGTAGGGTTGTTGATTGCCCTTTATAGAATTCATTTCTTTGATCTTATTTATTAAATTATTTAAAAGAAGATATTATCAAACAAATCTAAATACATTTTTCGTCTATGCGCAATGAAATAATAATGTTTTTAGACATTAAACATTATTTAGTAGAGAATAGTAAACTACAACAACAAAAAATATTTCAATTCTTATAAAATTATTATTATTTTATAAAAATAATTGTTGTTGTTGTTGTTCGTTACTATTTGAAACCTCTCTATTAAATACCACAGTTTCTGTTAAAGTAAAAAGTAAGTTAAGTTAGGTACTAGTACTGTTAATTTAAAAGACGTCAGAGTAGTAGGGGATTTGGGTATATCATGTCATATACCTCCAGCTCAAAAAGTACACGGATTTTGTTAATAAAACACAAATTTCAATTTTATTCCAAATTTATTTTATCTCCTTCAAAATATGCTCCTTCTGAAGCGATACACATATGCCAACGCTTAACCGAACTTTTCGTAGGCCCGTGCAGGTATGGCTTTTAGTTCCTTTGGCGAATTCTCCTTTACCGACTCAATCGTCTCAAAACGCTTACCACGAAGGGACAATTTGAGTTTCGGGAACAGGAAAAAGTCGCACGGATCCAGATCTGGTGAATATGGTGCCTGACAGTGGTGCCGTGTTTGATCAAAAAATCGCGTACAACAAGAATTTTCCATAGTAAAAATCGCTAAATGCACTTGAGGTAGTCTCACATTAACAGCTGCTGTAAACAAACTCATTGACAGAAGGCGCTCAAATTTGTACCATATGTCAAGTAAGGGTGTACCAACATAACAAAAAAAAAACCTTTTTGAAAAAGGTCTATTACTTAAGAAGTAGTTCACAAACAACAAAATCCGAATACTTTTTGAGCAGAAGGTACTTTATTCATTGACGAAAGATATTACTAATAATCTGTGCCTCCGTTGTATAAGTAGTAATCTTATCTCATTGTGATGGATTTATATGTTGAGAGTGTTTTTAAGTGTATTTTTGGTAAATACTAGAAACAGAAATATATCTTTATAAAATATATTTTTCATAATATGTCATAATAAGTCTTGTAATAAATTAAAATTCTCTTACATGGCTGTAAAGTTTCAAATTACTGCTTGACTGCCAATTCTATGAAATTTTATAAATACATACCCTCGCTTCATTCATTGCATATAATCTCTTTTTTAATATCCTTTATATTCTATTTTAGTAGGAGATATTTTGTAGTCTAAAAATAACTAAAATTCCTTTCCAAGTTGTATAAAATTTTCTAAAAAAATGTGCTTAAATACCTTGTATTAAAGTCTTATTTGATGGCAAAAAACGTAGCAGTCGTCCTTAATATTGTGGTACAAGCGGGAAAATATTTGCTCGAAGTCCTTTATTTGTTGTGCAAAATGCTGCGTAATTACAACAATTGCAGACAGTGTCTAATTCTTCAGAAATTCTAGTTATTGCCGACAGGTGTTTTGCAGTTATTTCGTTGCTGAATGCGTGAACCATTCCCCTTGTTTTATTGTTGTTTCACAGTACCAAGAGAACAGAGCAGAGCTAATGCGTTCCGGTGGAAGAGGTGGTTTTGACCTCCTACAACTGCGATAATATTCGGTACCTGTCATGTACACATTGTTATACATGCGAAAGAACCTTTATAGTTTCCTTTTTCCTTCGCACACAGACACACAACATACAGATACAGTCCAACTAACACAGAAACGCAAGCATACAAACAAATTTTTTAGCTTACATACAAATGCTTTTCTCATTGCAGTAATGCCAACTACGAAATACGACTACAGAATAAAACGGATTTACGGCAGTGTTGAGTGGAGTCCTTATATATCACTTATGCTTTCATAAAACTAACAAGAACGCTCCGCAAATACACTTATGCAGAATATGCGTTTATGAGTAGAGCTAGGAGTGTATCTGTCGATAAATCAGTGCGGGCTGGTGTGAAGGCAGCCATGATCGTAGCTATGCTAGTGTTTCGCTGCTACTGTGAACGCCACGATACTATAATTAATTTGCTCTTAAGTTTTCTTTGTCATTGTGCCAAACAAACAGACAAGCTTTGTATTTATGTTTTTGTAGTTGGGATGTGTAAATGAGTGATGTTGGGATGGCGGAACTATACATTTTACAGAAGTGTTGTCGTAAATGATTCAAATGGGTTCTTTCTTCTTATTTCGTTTACTACATTTCTGACATGCTTGAGTGTATATTTGGGTTGAAGACCTGCAATATACGCCCACAACATATAAAAATATGTATGACTACTTGCTGGTGGGCGTGGGGCCAAAACGCCACAGGTTGTACTGTGGTGTGTTTTTGTGTATTTATATTTGTTACTTTGACAGTAATTAAGGTGATTATATGCGGCATATGCTGTGCCAGTCACCGAAGGCTCCTTAAGTTGCTTGTTTCAGAGTCTTTCACCTGGAAGTATGACGCTGTCCATGTGCTGGTACATTTTATGCGTCAATGCGTAAATCTGCTTTAAGAAAATGTTTTGTTTGCACATCATTTACAATACAAAATATTTCGTCCAAGGTAGAGTTTTTTGTTTCTAAATAAATTGTGAAAATAAATTCTTTGAATTACAATTAAACAAGAATTTTACTTGTTACATTTTGATGACATTATTCACTTAAAAAAAAAATAAAGAAATTTATATATGAGACGAAATAATTTGTGTGCTTAAAGTGCAGGAACCACTTTTGTTGAGATTTATTTTGTGGAAGGTGTTAAAACTGTAGTTGTTGGAGAAATTTTGAAAGCCACATGCGGTGCGCGTAATCTGGCAGTTACAACAAATGGCATAAACGCATAACCGCCCACACCTCCTCTTAGACTGTAATCAGAATTAATCCATTCCACTGCTGACATTTTTGTTTCAGTTTCAGTGCTGTGGAGCTTTGTCGTTTCTAAAAATCATGTAATCCGCAACGGCTGAAACTAACAAGCACAAAATTGTAAACTCAAACTTCTGCAATGCTTTAAAAATGCAGTTTTTACTTTTGGGTACTACAATCAACACTGCACGTCTCAGTTACTTACATTGCAGATTGAAATCATTGCAATATGTTTATATATACAATATATTTTAACAAATATTTACTCAAAAACATACTACTTAAAGTCTAATAATATATAATAAGATTGGTAAAAAATTTTATGAGTATTAGGTAACGATTTGTCAGTTAAAACACTCATAAGACCCCCGCAAAATATAACTATCTTGAACGTAACTAAAGAATAAGAACCAAAGAATCACTATTATAACTGGTAGTCAGACAGCAGCCAATACACTCACATTAAGAATAATAATAGAGAGTATTGATGAATATCCTTGTCCAAGATAAGGAGGCCTGAATTCTACGGCTTCCGAGTCAGTTGAAGTTCTCTCCCAAAAATAATGATATACACACTTGGGAAGATGGATTAGTGTCCACATTAGAAAACTTTATTAATAGAATCTCCATTACTGGATCTGAAAACTTGGGCTCCAATTGATTAGGAAGAGGTTTTTTTTATCCCAATTGATAGACAGACAGTATTCAATACTATAAGTGTCATGACATATTAAGACCTTCGATGAAGATTCATAATAAATTAAATATCCTTATCCACAATAGACATATACAAATTCTCTCTCGATCTACTATTAGATCATATTGCAATATCTAACAGCGAGATGGTAAACACACATGTAAGGAAAGGAACCAGCACCATTAATTTCCTGGGGAACAGGTATTTTCATTCTAACGGATAGCTAAACAAAAACCAATATAGTCAATTTTCGTTAGAAAACTTTAAGACTGGTGAAGAAGAGTATTGATAAATTATATGTACTTGACTAAGTATAGCGTTGTCAAAATTTCATGCAGCATTAAAGTTCATAGCAATAAATAACATACAAGTTTACAAAGAAGCAATCTGGCATTATACAATTGCTCAATAAGAGATAATTTCTACTCTAACTAATAGCTAGATACCAGCCTATATAGACAGAAAACTT